TCCAATTATACAATGAAAAAAAATTTAACATCTTAAGGTTTTCAGTAGAACTGGAAAGAAGGTTTGGTCTTAAGCCTTCTAAGGCAGCTTTTTCTCTAAACCATCAATAGGTTTAGTCATGCAAGGAGAAGATTCTTTAAACTTACCAAAGACCTTGTTTAAAGCCCAGGAAAATGTGGACTGTCAGCATCCTTTGTGTTGTTTTGGAGCTTAAACCCATTCCCCAGTACACTGGTGACCCTCTACCCCAATTCTCTAGTTTCTCTCTGACATCAAACTCAGGATTATTGTTAGATTTTCTTCTAGGCAAAAAGGAGATTAGAAGCCCAGCTGCAACTGCTGACTGACAGGAAAGGGAGTAGAAAAAATACATAGATAGATATAAAAAGTTTAACCACCATGTTATGAGTATAATTTCCTTCCACACGCCAACCAACAGTATTGACCATCATCCCCATGGCTTGAGAAGCAAAAAATGCATGAAATGTGGGCATCTCCCCTCACAGTGTCAAAACAGGAGTTGACAGTTCAAGGCAAAAATGATTTGCATGTAAATCCCGATCAAAAGCAAGCTTGCACCCTGAAGTTGTCAAGTTTTGCTACTGGTCTGACACTTAAATGGGCTATAGCAAAACTTGATTTAAACTGAGGAGAAAAAAAACATGGCAACTCAATTACCCCCTTGCAGATCAGATCTGGCAGTTCAGGTCAAACTTTTCACCCTGCCATTTCTCAATACCTGATGCCTTAAAGAAACAATATGTATTCCTCCTACAACCTTAGCTGGAAATACATTTCCCATGGCTCCCTACTGTGCCTTTAAAAGTGAATGGGAGTGGGGGGCAAGGCAGGTTTAGAAATATAGTGCAAAGTTGAGTTTTAGGTTTGGTTTTGTTTCTTTAAATTTTCTCCTGATCAAAATAGCTTAAATTATACAGGAGGAAAATTTCTTTTATGCAAATATATTTGCATTAGAGAGATGTCTAGTGTATATGGACTTCTAGAATTCACTGGATTTGGAAAAAATCCCATCTTGTTAAACTCTTGAAGCCATACTTCATTGAAATAATGCTTGCCTGTAGCATCACAGAGCAGAGAATTACTTTGATCTGCCCAAAGGATGTGGGAAAAAAAAAAAATTAAAGTGTGGGTTTTTTTGAAAATTGGAGAAATATTTATATGGTGCAGTCAGTTTGTACAATGAAAGGAATGCTCCATTGTTACAAAAATTAAAGCCAAATATTTTCTAGAATCTAATTCTTAGACTAGTTCCATCCTTCATCCAGTCAATTCATGTAATGCCTTCAGGTTCAGAAATGTAACAGGTTTCTGTAACAGCACTCAGCAATTTTAACATCTGCTACTGATGGGTTCTGTGTCCCCAGACCATCCACATGAGCTATTTACAAAATGCCTTTGCTCTGTTTATTGCCATTAAAATGAGATATCTGAGATACACTTCAGACACTGCTTTACAGGCAAAAAAACAATCATCAAGAGAGAAACCAGAGGATTGCCTAGAGATAATTTAGATTCTTTAAGCATTAGAATTAGGGAAGACCCTAGTGAGATCTCATATTTCACAAAAATTCATTCAACTGACTAGTATAAATTAGGGTAATTGCAAAGATATGTTCACTGCACTATCACACAGCAACCAGAACTAAAGACTGTACACACAACTCACTCAGACTCTCCATCTCAGATGTATAGTTGATGTCAGTTAGAACACGAGGAGAATATAAAATACAAAAATGCCTTCTTTTTGCTTATTTGAAAACACTATCAGTATTCATGATCACGTCACAACTGATTCTCCTTTCTCAAATACCCAGATCTCACTTCACCACAATCATGAACAATGTCCTGCCTGAGCAAAGTGGCACAACCTAGCCTCCTACTTAATGCAACAGGAACACTTCAGGGGCAAGTTTTCATAATACTAATCTTTCAATTTCTGCAATTACTACATCTGTACAAATAATAAAGTTTCAATCTAGACATTTCATGAGCTAGTACACAGCTATGCAACATTTAGCAAATTTCACTGCTTGCACCACAATGGACACCTGGAAAGGGTTTCAGAGAAGATGTCTGTACAAAATAAGAACAAGTGTGTTCATTACTACAGGCCACTAAGTTCACTACTACTACATTTCTATATAGAAACATATGCTCAGATAGCAGTTAGCACAGTTGACCCTAATAGTAATACTCGTATATTTCTATATCAAAATTAACACCAAAAAGAAGTGAGCAAAAAAATTAGTAATAAGGAAAAAGGTTCAGTTTAGGACAGCTATCTTTATTATTTTCATGACAGGCCAGTATAAGAATTAAACAAGCATAATTTTCTGCTTCTAATCAAGAGACAAAAAAAATATTCAGAGTTATTGTTAAGAACAAACTGCTACTTTTATATGTTACTATGAACATCTCTGACCTTAACACAGTATCACTGATTTTAAAGCTTCATATGATTAGGAAACTGGCAAATATTTACAGAATTATTGCTTAGATTATAAACTCTTTGCAGCAAAGATGGTGTGTTTTTTCGGTCTGAGTTGTACAAAGCACTGTCAAAACAATGTCCTGCTGCAAAAGTGACAATTTTACACTCCCAGAGTAAGTGCAGAGATTATTTCAGGGTACTTTGAAATGGTGCCATTTTTATTTCTACAAGTCTAGCTCAGACTACATCTGAAATTATAATCAGTTCTTTCATCAATAAAGCTGAAGAGCTCAAAATAATGTTACCTCAAGATTTTGGTCTCAGACTCTAACATCAGTTACATAATGCCATCTTCAATTGCCCTTATCTTTTTCCTGTAGTTGTAATAAAACCTTTAAACCCCCATGTTTGCACTGTAAACCGAATTTAAATTATAGAAGTCTAACTCATTATCACTTGGCGGGGAGGGGGGGAAATCAAGACTTTCTTAAAAAATCCTAGTGAACTTTGGGTGGTACATTAAGCCATTCATAATCCATAGAGTGCCAGTAACTAATTTGTCATAAATCTACCTACGCTTTATTATTTCAACAACTACTCTGACTTTCACACTTGAAAAAATGGGGATCTGGGTTTTTAAATCATTTCCATTCATATACTACCTTGTTAGAGAAGACAGAAGGACAATTCTCCCTTTCTTTTTTTTTTTTTTTTTTAAGAGTTTTAAAACATAGAGATATATACTATTTTTATACTTCTTTGTGCACTCACTCACTTATTCAGCAAGTAAATCAACAGTGTGGGGATTCACACCTCTTTATTTCATTAAAATTCAGATTAGTTCCCTCTTGAACTACTTACAAAGTGAGAATAGCAACTTGATTTTGATCCTCCACTGAAGTGGATGCTGTACATGCATCCAGAAGGAAAAGGCCACACCGACACAGGGAACCAGTTCCGTTATGGCAGTTCTGGGCTGAGCTAACACCCCAACAATTTGCAGGAGGTAACTACAGAACAACTTCTGCTGAAAGCTTACAACAGGGTGACATCCCTGACTCGCCACCAGCTTTAGAAAATCAGCTATGAGGTCCCAAACCATCAGGTGATGCAGGCTAGAAATAAAGAAGTTGGAAAGGAGCTTATTAGTATTCTATCCTTTCAAGGAAGAAGAGTGATTTTTCATTGTGGTTCACTTCTAGCCCAACAGAGAAGCAGTTAACACACAGGTCACCTCCTCATCACCGAGGAAAGGCACAGTTTCTGACTTATTGGTGGATGGAAATCATGTACTTCGCTGCGATCTAGTCCTGCAGAGTAATGATATGCATTTACACACCTGAGCTATATATAAGTAACATGCTACAAGTAGATTCTCAGAAGTCTTATATAGTCTAAATTCAGCATAAATCAACTGTAACTCATTTCCATAAAGATTAAAGCCTTCTTCTCACTGAATAGTCGCAGCAGATATCACAGTACTTGCCGAAGCCCTTATCCCCAGAAAAACCACCACTGCACCCTAGGTAATTCAAATTTTGAAAGTTTTCTCAATTCATTTATATGAAAGTGAAATCAAAATTTCACAGCTATTTCACTATGTCTAATTTGAGACATAGAATAAGAAAGAAGGGAAGACACACAATATTGCCCAGTTCCCATGGGGCATGAGATCGTAGCAGAGCAGCACTAACAAAAAGAACTTTTCCTAGCTTTAACCACCTGTTCTGTTTCTACTGACAAATGCTGCTATCATGAGACAACAGCCCATCTCCAGCGAGATCTTGACTATGAGGGTGTTCATTTAGATTTTACAAATGTATTACCATAGATGTTTAAATTTGCACAGTGTCATTCCATAATAAATTAGTCAGCCTTATTAATTTTCAAAACGGAAAAAAGATCATTTATATAAAGTTCAAAATGTCAGAAAAGGAAAAACTCTAAAAACAATGCCAACATATTTTTTTAAGCACACGCACTTGTTTTATGGAGTTGTCTGCTACCTTTGATCAATAACTCAGTCTTGCTTATTCTATTCACTGGAGAGTTCCAGTGGACTGCTACACTACTGCACCCACACAGATGTTGCCAGTGGAAAGTGACCCTTGCCCACCTTGCCCCCATCACTTTTTTTTTTTTTTTAATGCCTGAAGATTACTTAAGATCTCAATGACTCTAAGTACCTTTTTTTTTCTTGAAGGCTCAGAGAGCCTAGGTTAGGTTTTCTTAGTACCACCCTTATAAATTCAAAGGTCCCACTATTTCTGCTCAGAGCTAAATCAGATTTACAACAACTGTCAAAGCACAGGATGACAGATAAATTAATCTTCCCTTCATGAGTTTACATCCAAGGCATCTGGGCTGCTGATCTGGCCCTAACAAGCACAGGGTCTCTACAAGCTGTCGTTAAAAGCTGATGCTTTCATGACTGGAGATGAATTATTCTGTCATGAGAATCTATTTATTCAAGAGTTAGAAGGTGGGCTTTTGGCTGCAGGATAGGATGATTTCATGGGTTAAGGTCCCCTTGAAATGTCTGTTTAAATCTTGTCCTGGAGCTGACTCTAATACACTTGGATTTTTTAGGACATGTACCGAATAGGGAAAAGACTTTTTCTTCCACAAAGTTATTACATTTTCCTCAAGCTTGACACCGGTAGAGGATCATTCTCAGTACAGCAGCTGATTAGTAATTCCTTTTCTCCAACTAAGGCAGACTACCCAGACATTAATAAATTGACATTTTTTTAAAAAGGCTTGATTGATTTCACAACACTGCCTGTCATGCAGCCATCTACTACAAAACAACAGCCTTCTCCAAACTGCCAGGACATTTCCTTGCAGAGAGCTGGGAAATCATTGCTCTACCTGTGGAAAAAAGATGTGTTTCAGGCCCAGCTGCTGGACACTGATGCAGTGGAAGCAACGACAATCCTCGAGCTAAGCAGTCTGGGAGAAGTTTCCACGTAGTCCAACACAGGTCAGCAACAAACAGGGAAAATGAGGCTATCGAGAAGTCAATTGAGGATCTATAAACTAAACAAGAGGATAAGCTATTGAATACTGCAAGACATTAACTGACGAGCTTCAGTCTATTTTAAAAGACAAATTCCACAATAAACCTCCTGTGCATTTAATCAGTTCACTCAAGAGTTAAGATGCCTATGCAGTGGTATCTAATGATTACCTGACTGGTTTTCACCATTCAAATATGGAACTCTACATGGGGAATTTTGGAGAAGCAGTGGGCTTAGTCTGTTAAACAACTGGAAAGCTCAACATGTTCCTCAGTTCAACTCAGAGCACGGATCTGAGCCAAGATATCATCATATTGCTAAAAGAAGCCATTAAGTGGTGAAAGAAAAGAATCAATATATGAAATAGATCCATATCTATCTAGGTTTCAAAATAATTTTGGGCAATATTATATTGTAAGAACAGGAAAAATGAATACATTTAAAGAAAAAATTCGTACTGTTCTTCCATCAAAGCAGCAATAAGAAATATTCAGTGTGGGAAGAATGACAAACCAAAATAACTTTCTTTTTCAAGGAATCATTTTCAAGAGCTTAAAAGTAATAAAGAAAAATCCAACCCTCTCCTCAGTAGATTACCCAGTTGCAGGCAAGAAATAGCTGATTTTCAGTAAGCAGTGAGAGGTGGTATTAGAATGCTAACATGGAAACGGAGGCAATCTAGAAGAAACTCAGTTTTATTGTTGATATTTGATTTGTCACTTTCTCCATGCTCTTTTCTAAAGCACAACCCTTCTTTATACAAGCTTTTTTTTTAGGGTGACAATACCCTTTTGGCTGTATTCCTTTTTACACAGATTCATCATTAAAATGTCACTATTGCTCTTTTATTATTCAGAAAAGAGAACATTCTTTAAAAGGCTTGAAAAATACACACAGAAGCTGATCTATGTTAAAATTATCACTCTTCCAAGAAGACATCTAGTCTTCCTTTTCAAGATGTCATTATCAGCCATGAAACCTGCAGAGGAGTCCAAGTCCACATTGTGTCCTCCCTCAAAATTTCCTTATTACTTGCACCCTCAACTGCATGATGTTTTCTCAAACCTCCCTTCTGTCTTTTTAAGGGATGACAGGGGTGTTGGAGGGTGAATTCCACAGAATCTGAAAGTAACAAACATAAATATTGCAGAGACTAGATCTCTTTCTTAGGCTACATCTATTTTAACAATAGCACAATTTAAAAACATTTAAAATACAAAATGCAAATATACATTTGTAACAGAATCCATCTTCTACTAAGTACCAGTTACAATTCCCATTGACCTAAATCATCCCCTCTCTGTATCCAAATCCAAATCTCACTTCTATTTTCAATTCTATGAATTCAACCACCTCAGATGTCTGCCTTTCTGTTATCACTTCAAGAGACATTTCAGCAAAACTATGCACAATAGCAAGACAAACCATTGTGAAAATCTCTCTTCTGTTTATAGACAATGTAACTGCTCTTGCAAGTGTTAACTGACAATTTAGGAATTGGGTGCTGTAAAGCTGGTCAACCTGCCTTCGAAAAAGAGTCTCATGTCTCTCAAACCAGACCTCTAAATTTATTGTGCCTCCAAATGCATCAAACAAAGCATTTGGTTTTTCTGAAGGTTTAAAAATAAGTCAATACAAAAATCAAAAGAGCCATTCCTTTAGGATTAGCATCAAAACAAGTTGACACTTTAAAACCCACAAAGTACAGTAGGTAGATCTTAGCAAAAAAACATGCAGCTACCTAATTATTTTTAATATACTTCTGAGCGCAGCAAACTAATGTAAGATCTATACAATGTTAAGGAAAGAGAGATCAGTCTGTGGTATTTATGACTTTAGTCATTCTTTCTCAAAACAACAGATGAAATAAAATATATGACATTCCCAAAGAGGGAGTTTCTACTGTAATTCATCTTAAAATGCAATGTTCTGTCATCTCCAGTAACACTTACTGAAAGCAACCATCAATACTTTTTGTCAAAAAACTGCACTCTGTGTAAAATGTTCCATCAATCTCTATTTACATAAAATAAAAAACTTTCAGTGTGATTCTAAAGCAGAACCGTTCAGATTCCCAGACTTCCATTTTCATGCTCTGTTGAAAAATTATTTTGACTGACACAAAAAAACCCCCATGCCTAACAATTTATGGTATGGGCTTTTTTTTTTTTTTTTTCTTTTTTTTTAATGTAAAACAAAACCACACTGACTTGTTCTTTTCCATTGATCAGCTAAGCAAAACAAAGCATTTTTGTGTACTTTGAACTCTGTCCAGTTTTCCTCTATGTTTAAACAGTCTAAATAGTCTAACTTAATAATTGGTGAACAATTTTGCAAAGTAAGCAATTTATAATAGTTCACTTAATCATGTTCCTGCATCCCACGTGCTTTTCTAGACATTTAAAAAGCACTCAGAGTCACCATCCTACAATTTTACTCACATGACCAGTATCATAAATTTCAATCAGAACTAAATCACAAGGAGAAGAATATACATATATATTCAATGCTTTGGGTTTCAGGGGTATAGTTTTCTAATCCTCATATCGCATTCACAGTGTTTTTAAGCTATTAGGCACTAGCAGATCAATACTCAAATGGCTGTTGTTAAAGAGCATGGAAAAATTACAGCAGAAATATACAGCCACAAAGCAGTCATTCATTTTCCAAGTAACAAGCTCAGTCTTATTACTGGCCACATCCAGGAATGGACTAGTTGACTTGAAAAGGGGAGTGGAGAGTGTTTTCCAAATTCTTTCCTCTAGAATTCCCTCTAGATGAGACATGTTTTTCTGCTTTATCACCTTCACAAATTAAACTGTGCACCCCTCGAGGTAACTGAAGCATGTCTTTAGGCCTGAAAGAAACAACACTGGGACAGGCAAGGGTAGAGAGTAGAGCAGAGCTACCATGGACAGATCACACAAACTCAAACACCACTGGCCTCCGTAACAGGACTGCATGGGACAGTGCAGGACACCTGGGCCTTCCCTGGGCCCAGAACTGGACCCCTTTAAATGACTATCATACAATATCTCCTTCTCACTAAATGGATTTGATCAACAATTTACCACACTTCAGGTACTTTTTCCTACAACTATTTGTACACATTCTGATCAACGGTCACTAGTCTGTAAGTTTTATTCTAAAAGATAAGATGAACTAAACATTTTTCCTTTTTTCACTAGAGTATTTCTTCAGCTGATTGCTAAGGTGATGTTCAACTGATGATATGATTCAAGACTTGCCATCCCACTCTATAACCCTTTGATAGTTTATCCTTCACTATTTCAAAATAATTTGCATAACTTCCTGTTATTTTGCAGCTCTTTAGCAGCTTTAAAATATGCAAACACTCTGAAAACAAGTTACTGTTCAGAAAATACTGCAGAAACACAACATAGTCAGCTTCTCAATGTTTCTGGACTACAGACAACATAGAGTTCACAAAAAAGGCAAACTAGTCCTAAGGAAAATAGAATACCTAACAATAAAACAATATCCACAGAAGAAAAAGAAAAAAGGAATCTAAGAAAAAAAAATGCATACATTTAAGTAGCGAACTATCACTTTTAAACAATCACGAGATACCAAATAGATTAAATTACAGTATTAAAATCTAAAGGAACATCAAATACAGAATTAGAAAGGTCTTGTAAAAATTTCTATTTTTCATATTTGCTATTCTGGATAGTCAGTAAGACCTTAGTGAGCTCACTTGGTTTCATCTCCACTCCAAAGAGAGGTGGGGAAAGAAAAAGAAATTTTTTTCCAAATACCTTCTGATAGAATAGATAAACATTTTCTTTGGTATAATATTGTCTTGGGCATTTTGTGGGGTTTCTTACTGTGAGTATTGTCAGTTTCTGTTTAACAGTTGTGAAAAATAAAGAATTAAAATAAATTTTAAAAATACCACAACCCGTTTTCTGCAAGTTCTCATATCCATACAGTTATTGGAGCCACACTTAAGCTACACATCACATAAAGCACATGTTAACTTGCTGGCTGAGTAGTATCACTTGGAGATGCCATCAAAAGCTCAGAAAACAAGACATTTCTTGCTCATTTTTCTTATAGATCAGAAACCCATGCCAGGGCTCCTCTTCTACACAAGTTATAGGAATTCACTAACTTTCCTAGTTCTAAAATTCAACAGTTGATAAAAGTCTGTAGGTAGAACTATTTCACCTTCACTTCACAGTATTGAAATTAGTAGTGTCTTTGTTGTGAAAAAATCTACCATTTGATTTCTCCTATTTTTATCTGTATTTTCTTTATAAATTACTAAATGTTTTTCTTGGGACAAAATGGATTAAATAATATCTACACAAAACCACATCCCTTTCATATGAAGGGAAAAAAAAACCACAGTACAAATCGACTCAACGAGGGGGAGCTATTAGCAACGAATATACAAGCAATTCTCAATTCTGCACAGTCATCATTACCTGCACAGTTCAACACTTCACGTGCTACCTCCTAGAACAGTTAAAAAGTGAAAAAGTGACTGCCTACATTGTTTTATATATACTCAAGACAAGTAAGAATATGATATATGGCTAAGAAGAAAAAAAAAGTTGCATTTTTTTCACTTTCATATAAAATAACGTCCAGTTACACAAAAGAAGATCCCAAGGTACACCTTGCTTTTTTCAAACCATATAAAACACAAAATCAGCTACAGTACAAATTCATCCCTTTAAGTGAACCTAGTAATCATTTGATTATAGCAGACATATTTGGCCAAAGAACTACAGATTTCAAAGCAACAAGATGCATCTTTCCCTGTATGTCTAAGATCCTTTGCTCACATTATAAATTCATAGTTTGCTTCTATCACTCCACTTTACAGTTGGCCTCCACCACTCTTCCCTTGGGAGGGAATAAAAAATAAAATAAAATAAAATAAAATAAAAAAAAAAAAGTCAATCTAGCCTAGGAACATCTGCAGAGAAGAGAAATCTATTCAAACAGCCAAATGGGTTCTGGAACACAGTCTTCACTTGTGTCAGTAGACAAGTCATTTAAACTTTTTTTTTTCTTTTTTTTTTTTTTAGCAATCACTGCTACCAAAAAAAAGGAAAAAAAAAAAAAAAAGAAAATACCACAGGTAATCATACAAGCAAGAGTAAAGAAGTTTACTCTAACACTTTTTTCTTTCTTTCAGCAAGCATTGTGAATAAATTGACTTTAAAGATTTCTTTAAAAAGCTGAAAAAACTTGTAATAGCACAGCATAATAGTGTGTTTATGCTTGGTTCACTGTTCCCCACTTTTTTTTTGCAAAAACAAGGTCTAACTTTTCAGAAGTAAACTAATCTTTAGTCTTTAATGCTTACGGATGAGAACCAGTGCAATGTTGCATCGGGACATCTCTAGGTTGTAAAGAAAAAATGACCAGTTTAGCTTCACTTTTTCAGGTGAGTGACACAACCAGAATTTGACCCAGAAATTCTAAGAAACATAATTTCAAGGAGTACACAATCAATCTAATCTGGCCATCAGATCTGCCAACACCCATTCTCCAACTGTCTGAATTTTAACAGAACCTTCTATTTATTCTGGCTTAAGCCTGGCAGTTCCCACCAAAATGAAGGGCTTCAGTACCAGCAAACACTACTGAGACAGCCCAGTTCTTCCTTGAGTAAAAAGCAAGCACTCTAAAAAGTAGACAAGCACAACAAGACATCTTAGAGAGAAAGATCCCTAAAACCTAGATAGACAGCTTTCTCCTGAAGACTGGGCAAAGCCCAGCTGAAAGATTCACTGTACATCAGGTTTTAGGTTTGGATTAAATACGGAAGTTTTCTTCCTCTAACTCACAAGAGAATGCAATAAACCCCCAAGTGCCTTACCAATCCATTCTCTGGAATACCTCCCAAAGTCATTTCTGGTCTATCCCCTTTATTCAACAGAGTGCTTTTGTGCAATCTTGCAAACACAGCAACACACTAGATCATCCTGGCAACATAAAGAAGCACAACTTTAGCTGGCTACCTGTCAGTGGAAAAAAGATGGTTCAACTGTAGGAAGAGGAGAGAAGGTGAAGGAACAAAGACAAAGTTGAAAGCAAAAGACTCCTTTTGAAGAGCTACCCTAGACGTATAAACAGGGACAGATTCTTTTCTCAGCTCTGACTGCTCTAAAATATGCATCAACTGTAGAATTAATAAAGTTCTCAAGCTACCATCTCTAGTCTAGTTCCTATTGATACAAAAAGCCTTTCACCAGTCTGGGTATCCCACTGAGTTTCCAAATGGGTCAATAGCTTTCAAAGGAATACTGGGATCTCCTAGTGCGCAGTGCCATTCCACTGGAATGGAAGAGTAACAGGGCTCTATCCCCAGAAGCCAAGAACTCAGGGAGAAATCCTCCTGCACGTGTGGGGAGCAGTGGGTACATCACTGGTGAGGGCACATCAATTCACATATGACTTTTCAATTTGGTTGTTCCCAACAAAAACAGGTTAAAATAGAAGCCAAAATTATTCAGGTTGACCATGCAGTGAAAACCTACTCAATAAAGGTTTGTTTTTCTAATGCAGTAGAACTTTACATTCACCCACATAACAGAATTAATTTCAATGGGGAAATGTTGATAGCAAACCCAGGAAAGGAAACAATACTTATTGGCCCAAAGTCTAAATATCACTCAAGAAATATTTGTACTCGAGCTCCCAGAACCTGGGGTCTAGCTCTAACAGCCAGACAGTACACTCGGGTCAAAAAAAAAAAAATTTACACAACTTAAGTAAAAATATCAATTGGCTTTAAACTCAGTCCACAAGTGACCACCAAAAGTATGCAGAATTTATGAACTGATACATATTCATGAGGATCACCTGTGGTAAATTTCTTCATCCAGTGCATGACTGCTAACTTTTGCTTTAAAGAAAAAGAAATGGGTAGAAACAGGAAACTGATGTACCAGCAAACTTAAACAAAAAAAGGCTCACACAGAGCAGCTCCAGAACGCAAATATCTATCATTCTTTTGTCCTGGTCCTGTCACTGTCCAGGGGCCAGCACAAAAGTACAAGATGAAAACCATTAATTTCAGGTATCATGTAAAAATAATCCAAATCAATTGCCTCCAAGCTCCCCAAAATAAAAAGTGAGCAAGTCTGATCAATGACTTTCCATTGAGATGATGAAAAACGGCCACTGAATTTGCTTAAGGGAACACAGAAGCCACACACACACTGCACTGCTCTTTGTTATCTCCAGTTGAAAGGTAGTACAGATAAAGAAATCTGCCACATGAAATTTTGAGACTCATCCCAGGTGGCCATAAAAATAATAGAATTTCAAAAATTTAGAGACCAAGCCTATTCCAATATTAGAATTCCCACTTAACATTTCCCTAATTAAAAGTCCTTCCAATAATAACAAAAATTTAAATCTAAAAGCCTGCATTAGCGGGTGCTAGCTCCTTCCAACTGTTTGTTCAGAGACTCTCCAACAAGCATACAGCACACTGTAAGAATTCAATTTGGAAACCATCATCTAAAGCACAGAGGAGAACAGGAAAGTCATATTGCTATAATGCTTAGATTATCAATCATCTTGACAGTTTATTGGCTTTATCACCACACATACCATTAAAATGATGTCTGGCCTAGAATGTCAGGAGGCAAACATTAAACAGACCAGGATTAAAAAGCAGATCCCAAACAGCACTCCAGTAAAGTTTCCCTTCCACTCTGAAATTAGTTAGAGCTGACTAAGTAACTGGCTCTAGACTTTGAAGAAATATACAGCCTAAAAGGCGCAGAGTCAACACAGACTTGACGAGCTGATAGGTAATGTCATGTTATGGCAACTCTAAAGCTCCTGCAGTTGATTTATCACGTACTGTGTGCAACAGAAAGATTGCTAATGGAGGGTGGGGGAAAAAAAAGCAAAACAACAACAGCTTAATTTGCTGCTTCTTAGACCCAAGGGCTTGAGTCAGGAGGGTCAAATGAACTCTTTGAAGTCAAGAAGCAGTGCGCTTTTTTATCAATTTTGTAGTTATCAAGCACACATATTAACATTAACAGTTTTTACACTGGCTTATTTTACAGATTAGGAAAATCTAAGAGTGACAAAATATAATCACAATTCAGTTATAACAGATAATGAAAGAGATATAAATCCTGAATTTTAAAAGCACAGCTGTGTGTGTCAGTCTGGTAACTAAATCCTGACACAATTAATATTGTGCATCAACAGGGTGCAATTGAGAACTGTGTCATTTGTTCAGGACCATACTTAATTGTGCTCAGGAACATTCAAGCAGGCAGCTACAGATAATTAATTGCAACTTCCCTTTGCTCGAATCCCCTTTCTACAAAAAAAAAAAGCTTGCATTTCCAGATATTATTTTAGTTCCTGTTTCCTTAATTTCTTTTTTACTTCCTTTCACCCCAAAGGTATTGGCATTTGCATTATCTTCCTATTTTATTTAGAATAAATATGTCAATTTTAAATTACAAATAAGCTAATAACCTGTCTAACCAAAAGAACCAGTCAAATAATTGAGCCAGAGTATTTCCTGAAAATAAACTGTTTATATGCTTTCTTATGTCAGTCAAAACCAACATGCACATACCCATTTCAATTTTAAACAGATTAATCCAATACCAACTCCAGCCTGCTATACTGATCTATATCTCATCATGCACATTGCTTACAGGAGTACTTCTATCTCTGAGAAAGGTGTTGGGAGGTTTACCATTTGCCAAATCCAGATAAATCTTTGATGCTTGAGCACTAAAGCTTTAAAATTTTGATCCGATATCAACTCCATAATTACTATTTCATAGTCCACACTCATATTTTGAGGGACTGAAGTAATGTTTTACAGTACTTGTTCTTTTTTAATTAAAACACAGCTAAATGAAACCCTAACTTAAGGAAGAGTGCTGACTTCATACTTGATAAACCACTGCAGCAATTTGTAGTAAAAATCACTCTTATCCTTAACTGTGACATTTACTATGTATTGGCTTACACAAGAATTTCAGTAAGGTCAGAGCCACGACAAAGTCTCTCAGCTGAATTTTAAAATTCAGGTAAAGACATCTAGAACTGTCATCTGGCAAAAAACACAAAACACACACAACTTCATAAACAAGACTGAAGAGGAAGAAGACCAAATATTTAGCTATCTCTAAAGACCTGAGTACTTCTCAGACATCTGGCATCACCTCTCACCAACCTCTCAATAGCGCAAGTGGAAGTCCTAACTGACCAGAAAAGACATTCTTAATTAGAAGCCTAACAAGTAGTCTCTTTGTTCCTCCAACTATCCTCCATGAGGCTGAGAAGCAAGAGTTGAGAGTGATCAAACCCACAGAAGCATCTCCAGCAAAGGGAAATTTAAATGCTAAGCACAGTGTTAGAAAGTCAGGAATATAGGAAGGAGGCCCCAGAAAAGTTCAGATTATCAAAAAACACGAACTCTCTTTCCCCAGCATTTAGTTTCATCATCTGTTCTTCAGATTGTACTAGTTCTATGCACTTATTTGGAGGCAAGTTGAGGAAAAGTGTCCACAGCAGAAAAAGGTGGGGGACAAAAACATGTATAAGCCACCTACAACTGTTACTGTGTTGTCTTCAAAGTTAGTGAGGACAATAAGAAAAATATTCTCCAGAAGTAGATGAATATCTACCAAAAAACAGTATCAGGATCAGCATCCTAAGCAGAGAACAGTCACTTTTGCTTCGGGAGTATCTACTTTGTCAAGACCTGCCGGTTCATAGCACCTGAAACACACTGTGCTGGTGGCAACAAAGTGTTACAGCAACAATCAAGATATTTCGAGGATAAAAATAATTTCATTTCACACTACAACAGGGTTCACTATATTCAGATTGCTTGCTCTATGAGCTTTACTTCTCATACCACAACTGCTGTACCCAGCAAGTCCCTAAGGACCCAGGCCTCACTAGCAGTTAATGATCCATTAGACAGCCACCTTGATGCAAACCAGAAGGTGGCTAATGCTCTAACAAAGTGGTCCTAAACTACAATAACAGACAACATTCAAGGATTACAGCCACTATAAACCAGTAGTCATAGTTAATAACTGTAATATTTCATTAAAATGGCTAGAAGTAATGCATACCAGATACCCAAACAATTACAGATGACCTCAATGGTATTAGAAAATTTGTAATATAACATTGAACAAAACCAAGTTAGACACTTGCCACAGCACAATGAATGTATCTTCTCAGCATAAGCTCTTCCTAGTTGTTTCACTATCACAGACACAGAAAAATTCAATAAAGAATAGAAATTCACAACAAATAGCTGGTGGCATTACTACCAATCACAATAAACAAGCAGAATCTCTAAGAGTAGCAAGAAGACTTCTGCTATGTTTCCATCAAAGTCAGCCAATAAAGCTACCATCATAACTTTCATTTGCTTACATTTTCCTGAAGACAGTAGCTATCTCAAAAAAAAATACACATCAAACATTGCATGGTTTAACTATATACCACAGTCACTTCATTATCCCTTCATATCCCTTGCAAATTAATTTACAGACCAGAATAATTTAAAAAAAGTATAATCTTACTTTAAATATCAAAACCAATTATATTACTGTAAAACACTAAAGCATGATTTGGGCAGTGGTTTTAGACCAGCTTTGACAACACAGTAAAAAAGATCCTTTAAACTACCAAGCTACCTCTAATCTACTGCTATTGCAAAAAGTTAATGTATAAGCAAGGGAGAAAAAAAAAGGTAAAAGTTAATCTCTAAGTACTTAATTTATGTTAAAAATTCATTATATACCAAATTAAGTTCAGTATTAATAACATCAAACAGAATTCTTCAGAAACGTTTGTGTCTTGATAAATGAAAGGTATACCATGAGTGCTATTACCAATTTATCAGAATTAAGGCATAAGATGACATTTTTGTTGTTTTGTTGGGTAGATAGTACAAACTACCTACAGTGAAAGCATAAAAAAGGAGGCCAAATGAAAAAGAAAAAAAAACCTAGCTGGAATAAAAGAGTGGAAGTGTGATTTCCACAGAAGTTCTGTAAAGGACTATTTCACTGGCAATATAGTTAGCCTTTGGCAATGTGCCATACACCCAGAGAAACACAGGGCCTATAAAAAGCCTGTGACATGGTGCAAAAGAAGAGTTTTAACACACCCTAAAACACACAGACGGCAATGACAAAGATATTTACATTTTGAAAGAATGCTCTAGTAGTTTTGTAGAAACTGCAATCTGTTTCATCACTAAAGGAGAAAGCTTGAGAAGTTAAATTAATTTGGTTTCTTTTTTAGCTGGTTGTTTAGAATTTTAAATTGGTTTGTTGTTTTTCAAAGGTGGATGAACTGAGTACAGATGAAGTGACTGCTGGTTAAAAAAAGTCTCAAGATCCTCCGGCATAGGAGGCACTACTGCCTCCCTGGGCAGCCTGTTCCAGTGCTTTGCCACCCTCCATGTAGAGAAGTTCTTCCTCATGTTGAGGTGGAACTTTTTGTGTTTTAGTTTAAGGTCATTACTCCTCATCTTGTTGCTAGACACCACTGAAAAGAGTCTGGCACCATTCTCTGACACCCACATTTGAGATATTTATATATATTGATAAGATTCCCTCTCAGTCATTTCTTCTCTAGACTAAACAAGCCCAGCTTCCACAGTCTCCTCCGGTAAGAGAGATGCTCCAGACCCCTAACCATCTTTGTGACCTCCACTGAACCCTCTCCAGTAGCTTGTACTGAGGAGACCAGAACTGGACACAGTACTCCAGATGTGGCCTCACTAGAGATGAGAATATATAATTATATATGTACATATGCGGCAATTATTGAAAAACTAGCTGGGGATGTGCTGTCCAGCACAGTAACAATGAAAAAATTATGGTCTAAATACAACTTAGCTGTGAGAAACAGAAAGCTATCATTATATTTCCAGTAATCTGTCCACCTACTTTTTCCCTTATTCATCTTCCACTAAATCCTCTCCCCAAAAAGTGTGGTAAGAGTATCAGGGCCATTATTCACATGGTTTGAAGATGTTCAAAGGTCTCGATCATTATGTCCTCACTGAAGGTTAGAGCTTTCTCTGTTTAGTCTAGTTGTCTCCAAAAAGAGTCTAGTCTATAGGTGCCTAAATCACTTTGTGGAACAAATCAGTGATCAGTGAGCAGAGATTCTGGGAGATGTGCTTTTAAAATTGCACTGCTGCTCCAAATATAGATGCAATCTCAGCTATGTCTGGTATACCCAAGGGAAAGTAAATAGCAGCAGTTCCAGCAGAACACAGGAAGGCAGCTTTGTGAAAGGAGAGCTTGCTGAAAAAACATATGGTGAAAGTTTACCACCTACATCCTACAAACAGTGTTTACAGATTCAAACCAGATCCCACAGCTCCTAGTCTTGAAAAATCCCAAGCCTTTCCTTCCAGGTGATGCCCTTTCCCATTACTCTCATCCAAATGTTTATGTGCAATTACAGCACTCAACCTCCAGGGTACAGAGTGCCTGGGGAGCAACGAGATACTGGATTGTCTCCTCCAGCCATTCCCAGGGACACTTGTGGGACAGGTGGGTTTTAACCAATGAACAGACCCAGCAACAGGCCAGTAAGAACTGCGCCAACCCTTCCTCATGATAAAAGGGTACTCATTTGGAACTCAGCAGAAAGAGGAGACTGTAGGTGACATTATTTGACAAGTTCATGCAGCAAAATCTGAGTGCAAAACAATCCTCTGTATTCACACCTCTATGCCTATCATTGTTAGAACACTGCTTTAAAAATTTCACAATCCACGCTCATTCTTGTCTGAGTGGGCAAACAACCCCAAGACCACTTTAAACACTCAAACAATAACTGCATCCTATTTCAGAGTGTGAACAGACAGATGATTTTTTTCCATATATTCCTGGAAAAATATTCTTAGATTTAGGAAATGAATTAATATTTAACTTTCTTATAATTCTACAGTTTCAGTGGTATTTCTAGGACTGATAATTCTCCTACCCAACAATGCAAATCACTGTGAACTTCAAAGATACCATGAAAAATACAGTGGTATTCATTTCTGTGGTAAGATTTTAATCTTCTCTTCCAAGCAGTTTAAAATACTTCAGTACAGTTTGCACTGAAGTCTTACACAGAATTAGAAACTCTTATCATTTAAGAAGACTGTATAAACTACTATTGTACCAAGAACTTTCATAAACGATCACCCAAACTGCCTTTATACTGAAAGCTCATATATAATTTAAAATCTCAGAACGTAAATCATACCTTTACACCAAGGTATATTTATGTATCCTTCTATTTACTGCATTAGATATAAAGAAAAATGCTGCCAAAACAGCAACATTTAGTATCTCTGTATCAACCATAAAATTGAGTATTTTGAGATCAATGAGTGTATAGGATCAAAATTAAGTTTCAGTAACAGAAGTACTTAAGCATTTTTTCAGTGACTTCCAGGACACTGGAGGCTTGTTTGCTGCTTAATTCTGATCCACAAAGAGGTCCAAATTCCAGGTTTGCAAAGGTTGCTTTTCTGAAGCAAGTTTTCCTCAGTCAACTAAAATGTAGTATTTTAGGGCATGCAGCTCTCTTATCTGGTGTTAACTTTTCCTAAACAACAAAGAAAATGGAGCAGTTTGGAATCCCTCATTTGATCCCAAATACCAAATGATTATAAACAGTCAGAAAGATAAGAAATAAATTAAAAAACCAACCAAACAAAACAAACAAAAAAACCCCACAACCAAACAACGCAGAACAACCCTGCTTTGTTATACCTTTCAACCCTTACTCATCCTTCTATTTACCATCTTCAACCAGTACCTAGCTGTCTAAATCTAAAGCTCTGTGACGCTGGATAACGTATGCTGCAACCATACAGATGCTCAAAGACATTAATGGCAGGTGCCAAAACATTTCAGTATCAATTGCCCAAATTTGATGAATTTGTTTTCAGACCTCAGAACCATCATCACAAAATACAGAAAAGCTTCTTCCAAATTAAGGATGTTGCAACTCCAAAGGATTACTAGGGAGAAAACTACTTTACTTAGTTCCTAAAACAGTTTAACTTGAGGTGAGGGGAAGAACAAGCAGAGAGGAAAGAGAAGAGAAATTAGTTGCTGAGTTCTTGAAAGCTAATAACTTCCTTTGTATTTCAGAAGTAAAAATATTTCAGTGCACAATGTCTCAAATTCTTAAAAAGAAAAAAAAAAAAGGTAAACAGAAAACACGCAACTAGTCAGAACCAGACACTGCAAGCAACACCTCACTACTAACTTCCAAGACTCCCTGCAGCTGACTTTCTTGATTCCAAAACCTGGCTCACACTCTTCCTCCCCCACCATATACACATTCCTCCCTTCCCTCAGGATTGTATACTCACACGGGATTTCTTCCTGCCAAAGACATCTGCATCCTTCTTCTGTTAAAATTTAACAAAACAAATCCACATTTTATTGGTTCCACTGAGGAAATGCCAAGTTCTAAAGTTACAAAGACCTCTAGAATGTGACAGGTCTCACAGCAAAAAATATTCCTTAAAAGTACTTGCCTACCAATAGACAAGACAGAGTTTAACCAGAACAAAAATATCTATGCAACCTTGGTTGCTTATACAATGAAATTACGAAAAGCTGGGGCCCTTGAATAAGCTTTGGAAGACATTTCATTCAGGCTAGCACACGCCAGTAGGTTTTGGTTCAGAAAACCAAGTACTGTAAAGAGATCATGCATTTTTCCTTGTTTTCCATGCCAAAAATATAATATCAAATTTTAAAAATTACACATTATTTAACAGAGGCCACAAAAAGCAGTGTCCTTTTTACAAAAGCAGAGTCTCCAGACATCCATTATATTTTTTCCATGAGCACTGCTCAATAAATGTTGCAATCCTAAAGCTTTTAAATGTAATTAAGTGATGATATCATCACTTTAAAGGCACTTCAACAGCACATTATGAGAAACAATTTCTTTTTCCAAAATCAAAATAACAGTAACCAAGTTGATTAGAAGTGTTTTATACTAAAAATATTTGCAATATCTGCATTTACAGGCTTCTCTAGGTAAGAGTAGCAAATGATATACAGAATTCTGAATAACAAAAGAGCCTCCATGAACTAATATGGCACAATAAACATTTCATTTAAGTTTCAAGAGATACATGCTAGGAAAGTATAATTCTGATGTTATAGTGAATAAGAAATACTAAATAATAAATATTTGGAAGGATAGAGTATTTCCACCTATTGTACTTAAAAGCTCAAAAATGTTTTCAATTCCATGCATAAAGCTGCTCAGAAAGCCACACTGAATATATTGCCTTTGTTTAGGTTATGCACAAACAAATATTGGGATGACAGTTAAAGACACATCCTTGAAGTAGTCTACCCAATAAATTTGGAAAGAGGAGGAGGAGGAATAAAAAATCTAGCTGTATAAGATTCTCTTTGTTGCCTGCTTGTTAAGGAATCCTTCTGGCACAACTGAGGGGATTATGAATTCACATGTGAATTTATCCCCTATTAAACTTTTAGTGAAAGGGTCAGTTAACAGGAATGATAAAGCTTAGGCACACCAGTCACATGCTGGTAGAGCATCTGTGACTAGCTCTACTCAGGCATATCACTGGTTTATAGCTTTAACATCAAGTGGAAGCTGTGGGGGAGGGTGGAAAACAGTCCACTTGTGAAAAGATTTGAGATAGTGCAAAGTACAATTTCACATGAGACAAAGGCAGTGTGACTTCATGACTACAGGTCACACTTTTTTATGGTTTTGTTGTTTGGGGTTTTTTTCAGTGAGCACTAAGGAGGACAGTCCAGGCTAAAATCTCTCATCTCACTGACAAAGGTTTTGACTAATCCCTTAAGGTTCTGTAGCACTTTGGCAACTCGTCTCTTCCTCTTTTCCCCCTCCAAGAACTCCCTGTTGGGCTATCTTAGCTTCCAATCAGAACTCATGGTCAGACATGTATGTCCCTGCTATATAGGTGGCAATTAAAAATATACAGCAAGCGTGTCGATGCTGAAGGTTGGTCAAAATTTACATTTAGACATCACTTCAATATCTCACACTTTCTTTTTAAAATTTACACTTTTATATCATTGTGCAGTAATGTAACACAGAGGACAATCCTGTTTGCACCTTACTATGGTTGTGTTATTTCTAGAAGAGATTTGGTCCCAGCTTTGGGGGTGAAGAAAAAGGAAAACCACAAGGGCCAGCAATAGCACAGCAGCTTCAGCCAAGATGCAAAATTCACCTTCCTTACGACAAGAGGTTCTGTGGAGCCAGTCTGCACATTATCACCACTCAACACGTCCACTGTTCAGGTGCCCAACATCCAACTTGTCTTCTCAGACTCTTCAAAACTGTTGAGGATTGAGCATTCCCTAAAGAGTCAAATGACTCTGACCTTTCCCTACTACTCCCCAGCTGCAACTCTCACACACAGTATTTGTAGCACACGCCTTGGCCTCTAAGCTCTTCCAGGGCCCCTGTCACAGGTCTGCAAGTTAGCTGAGCCTGACACATAAGCATCCTGCACTACAGGGAGGTACGGGCCTGCTAGTGCAGACCTGTGCTCAACAGGACCATGCTGGGAAACACCTGCTCCCTTCCCTACTGGGGGACTCCACACTGGAGCACACTCCTCACTTGCCTGAGTATTTTATGCTGAGACTTTCACAAGCCTAGTTATTTTAGAAGTCAATGGTAATTAGGCAGACACATTACTTTGCAATCCCTTTCAAATGTGCTATTAGCGAATTCTTGCACAT